GGTAGAGGACCTCTGAGCGTCGAGCATTTCGGCACCTTACCTTATAAGGGCCCCAGCATCACCCAAGGCCTTCCAAGTAAGTGGAAAGAACCGGGGACTAATATGAAGGGCCGCTGAGTAAGTGAGTGTACCCTGGCATGTGGGGCCCCGGAAAAGCGTGTAGAGCCTTTCAGACGAATGGAAAAGATGTGTGTAAAAAACCTGATCGATCAAGAGTGCCCAGGCGTGGAAGCAGGTATCGAAACAGCAGCGTGGTGCCCTACGAGGAGACGTAAAAAGATGAAATGCAACGTGAAAAGCTCATTGGCGATCATGTTGACCCGGCAAGTGGACATTTAGGGCCCGGGCAGCAGTGTAAGGCCTCTGGACATCGTAATGAGTCACACAATTTCCCCCCAAGCACCACCTTTTCAATCAGGAAAGAATTAACTTCGTCTGCTCATGAACTCTTTACTTTTACTAGCAAATGTTCTTGGTCGTCCGTAGGTCCAAATGTGCCCAATTTTGTCGGAAGAAAACTGCATCTGCTCGGCCGGTTATAGACTCCTCTGGAGCTTTTAGGTCCTCTCGGCATGGTCCATGGAGACATGGCCCCATGCCTCCCCCCCCCCCTTGCATCCGCCACCAGCCCGAGCAGTTTAATAGATGGAACCCGCCAAGAGCATAGGGCCATCCATTCAACTAAGAAATATTTACGATGAAATATGTAGGGCTCCCAACGAAAGAGTTTGCCCGAGCAGATTAAAATATAGAGTCCCCGTCACGAGCGCAGGGCCCTCCATTTCAATAGGACGATCGGACGAAGATCCAACGTAACCCCCCCCCCCCCCCCGAATGATCGAGTATGCCAGAGCAAGTTGACAGATAGGGCTCCCAACAGGAGCGTGTAAGGCTCTCCAATCAAACGGGAAGCACCCACGACCCTATGTAAAAGGTCCCTCGAACGATGGGATTAGCCCGAGCAGGTTATCAGAAGGGGCCCGACAAGAGCGTAAGGCCTTCTGTTCAAATAAGAAGCGCCCAAAACCCAGTGCGGAGGGCCCCGAAAGATGGAGGGTACCCGAGCACATTATCAGATGGCCCCGGCAGGAGTGTAGGGCCCTAAAGTCAAACACCAAGATCCAATATACAGGGCCCCCGAACAATCTCGTGTAGCCAAGGAGGCAAACAGATGGGGCCCCGGCAAGTGCGTAGGGTCCTCCATTCAGGCAGGAAGTACCCAAGACACAATGTGGGGGGCCCCGGATATTCGTGTGTGCCTGAGCAGGTTAGGTTAACAGATGGGCCCCGGCGAGAACGTAGAGCCTTCCGTTCAGATATGAAACACCCACGACACGATGTAGAAGGCCCCGAATGATCGAGTGCGCCAGAGCAGGTTAACAGATAGGGCCCCCGAAAAGCGCGGAGGCCCTCCATTCGAAGAGAAAGTACCCAAAACCAGATGTAGAGGCCTCCAACGATCGAATGGGCCCGAGCATCTTATCAGAAGGGACCCCGACAGGAACGTAAGGCCCTCCATTCAAATAAGAATTACCCAAAACCCGGTGCGGAGGGCTCCTGCAAGATGGAGCGTACCCGAACAGGCTATCAGATGACCCCAATAGAAGCAGAGGGCCCTAAATTCAAACATCAAGAACCAGTGTGCAGGGCCCCCGGGCAGTCCAGTGTGGCCGAGGGAGGCGAACAGAGGGGGCCCTCTACAAGTGTGCAGGGCCTCATCCAAAAAGCACGTGCCCAAGACCCAATGTAGAGGGCCCCCAAACGATCGAATGTGGCCGGGCAGTTTATCAGATAGGCCTTCCCACAAGAGCGTAGGGACCCCCATTCAGAAAAGAAGTACGTAACACTCAGTGTGGAGGGTTCTCGAACTACTGCAACTTCCATGCCCAAGAAGGCCATCAGATGGGCCCCCGACAAGATTGTAGGGCCCTAAGCAAGTGACGGAGAATTGGAAACGCCCTACACCAATGTAGAGGCTCATGAGCATATCGCAAGTGCGTTGGTAGGCTAACCGAGACCCACATAAAGGACCCCTGAGCAACCGAGAATACTCCGGCTGTAGCTCACAGAGCTGTTCTGGCGAATGGAAAGAATCCGAAGAAGGGGCTGTGATTGGCAAGAGTGCCCCGGCACGCTAACAGGAAGGGCCCCAACAACAGCACAGGGCCCTCCGAGCAAATGCAAAGAAATGAAGGGCAACGTGGGATGCTCATCAACGATCGAAATGATCCTGCAAGTAGGCATATAGGTCTTCCGGATACAGCGTAGGGCTCCTAGACAGTGTACTGGGGCATACAATTTCCAGTTCACGATTTTTCCAATCAGTACACAATGTTTTGGACTTCTCATAAGCCATTCACTTTCGCTTACAACTGTTTTTGGTCGCTTTGAAGTCCAGAGATACCCAGTTTTGTTGCGTTTTGTGTTTAAAAAAACCGCACCTGTTCGGCCGACCACGAGCCCCCTCGGAGCCAGTGGGCCCATTCGGGGCCCAAGGGGGCATGACCCCGTGGCCCCCCTCTGGATCCAGCCCTGGCCTTGCGTATACGCAAACGACATCTTGCTTACAAGCCCAGGCGTGAGCTACATCACCAGCTTCGCACACGGTTCTTCAGAGAGCGGGGAAGCACCGTGGGTGTAGCGGGGAAACTGGAGGAGCTCATGCGCGTCTGGTCAGGTGTCATTTGTGCGTTGTCCTCTGAACACAATGACACCGCGCCGTCCACGCTGCCCCTAGATTGAGGATAATCCCGATCTCTGTGCGTGATGCGGGAACGCGACCACGCTTGCTGGTCATGGTGGAGGTACGGTGCGGATACCGGCCGCACAGAATATCGGCTGACCCAAGGTCACCATGTGCCAGGAAGGATGGGTAATGGGTCAAGAAGTATCAAATGGGGAAGGCTTGGTGCCAATCGGTCTCGTATGTTCGGAGCATCGGATTTTCGGCATTCCTATTTTTTTCTGCTTTTGGTGCTTTAGTCGACTTTGGACCTGACCCAAGGTCACCAGGTTCTTGATAAGATGGGATATCGTCTATTGCACATAAATTGGTGAAGGTTTCATGCTGCTGGGTGTCGTGGGCTTAGAACATGCGCTTGTCTGTAATCCTTTTTCCAGTTTTTGAATATTTGATGACTCGATCTCACCCAAGGTAACAATGGATGTCCTGGTAAATAATAAGTCGTCGAATTTGCATCGGATAGCGAACGTTTTGTGTTGATCGGTCACATAAGGTCGGAGCATGGTATTGTCCGCAGTTAATTTCGGTGTTTTTTGCGTTTTTTGTTTCTGGCCTGACCCAAGACCACCATATTCTAGGTAGAATGGGTTATGGACCAATTGACATCGAATGGTGAAGGTTTGATGCCGATCGATCCCATAGGCTTCAATGGGGTTGCTTACAGCCAAGTTTAAGTATCAAATCCCAAGTATCGGGCCCTTCCCACGTGCCTGGAGGGCCTTGTGCTGTTGCTAGTACTCTTATGAGGTAGGGCACGGAGACACTCGACGCTGAGAAGCCCTCTACTTTGATCGAGGGCTCTCTCCCTTTGGTCTTATTTGCGGAGGACTCTTTACTCCCATGTAGGCTGTTGTTTCCAACCAGCCCGTGCACTCTTGATCGCACAGGAATATTAATTATGGTATTAATTCCCTTTTGCTCAGAGGGTCCTGTGCTATGGCCGGGGCCCTATATGTCAGCGTGCCGGGGCACTACCGATCGTTTAGGGGCCCATCACGTTGATCTTGCGCTCTTTTTGCTTACTCTGGGGGCCCTATACTTGTTGACGAGAGCCACTTATGTCAACTTGATGTGTATGCATGCGTAGCACGCCTATACTTTAAAGGGCTGTGCACAGTAAGACGAGTTTCCGTATTTATTGAATAAATGAAGAAGCAAATAGATACATGCAATACATAAATAAATAAGTGAATAAAAAATAAAGACATAAATAAATGAAATGCAAATATATTACATACGACTTGTCTTACGATGTAATGACCGAAATCCAAGGATCTTTTTGGGAGGGGGCTCCACAATATCCCGTGCCCCCCTTGACGAAACCCTAGATCCGCTCCCGACGTGCGCATTAGAGATCCCACACAGACAATGCTGATGAGTATACCAATTGCTATTATTGTCTGGGTTTTACCACATCGTGTACAATTTTTTTCTAAAAAATGGGACTGCTTCCTGGATTGGGGTCCATGTGAGCTGAGCACGGGCTAAAGACTGGGAGCATGGGGTTGCCTGCATCCATAATTTTCTGTTTTTTGATACGTTATTTGACCTCTGTACCTGACCCAAGTTCACCACATTTTGAAAAAAATAGATTATCGTTCAAGCAGAAACGAATGGTGAAGAGCTAGTCTCGATCGGTGCCATGGGCTCCGAGCACTCCCTGCCTCCATGGCGCGAGCAGTGATCTGCGCAGCACGAGGTGAATTGCTACGACGCGCTCGAATTTCGCAGTCATCCACAGTTGTCTGAAATGCTATTCTTGCGCCTCATTTCACCAGCTCAGTACACCAACACTTTGAGCCAATAGTTCAATAGTTCACTGTTTCATTTCTTCGTGGCATGCACAAATGTGAACTTAAATTTGAGTTTTGAACTTTTTTTTGCGAAAAACTGAGAAGCATTGGGCACTAGGTTCCACATTGTGGAGGCTCTGCCCAATTTGCGGGGACCCAGCCAGACATTGGGTGGGGCCCAGCTCAACATTGAGGGGCAGCTCAACATTGGAATGCTATGCATTGGGGGAGGGCATTGGGTGGGGGCCGTGGCCCCCCAAGGAGATACAAACTTCCATCCCTGCTGCTGGGCGTGTGTCTCGCAATGCACCATCACTAGCCACCTGTATTCTGATTTTAGCGCCATCTAGTTTTAAAAAATATTACCTCAAGTTTAGAACAGGACATGGCAGCGCTAGTGGCTGGCCAAACTGGCGATCTTGGGTCTTGTCGCTTCCGCGCAGGGTTCCCAAATAACGGAGCCCGCTGTACGCTCATTCGTGTCCCGGTGAAGTGAGGGTGTGGTGGAAAGGACGCGGCTGTGTGCCGGGGCGTACAAACATTGGTTGTACGCAAGTGGTCGTGGTAGGTGACATCGCGTAGACTGTTAAAAGACATTCTCAAGTCCTGATTAGTCGGGAAACACAGAAGAAGGCAGTGATGTCGAAGACCAATCACATTTCAGCCTAAAGCGTGGTGTCTTCATTGTGATGGTAAAGTGAAGTTGTATTCGACGGAAAGCTCAAGTCTTCTGAGGATCAACATCTTTGGGAAGGATGGAATCTGGACAGCTATCCTCCAATCTCCTGAAATGGGTAAGTTACAGTTGTAAGGTGGCGTTGCTGCTGCTTGTGTGAAGTTACTGTTATGACATTCATACTTCCTGAATTTAGGATGTCTGAACAGTAGTGGGTAATATGACTAATTTGGGGTATCTATGCCAAATTCTGTAAACAGAATGAAGAAACCTGTGCATTTTATTAATAATCTTGTGACAATTGATAGCAAGCCGTGCATGTCCAATACTTAAGGATAGCTGATACATCAAGGCAGCATATATATTTTTTGCTTTTATGCCAAGTCCCAGAGAAATGCAACAGTATATCTTACACTGCCCCATGACTTTTTGGTCCTGTTAATATGCACACTGTTGATGTATGGTTAGTGTTGTATGCCAGCCATGGAAGGAGCTGGTTTCAATGTTGGCTTAGTCATGAGTGCATAAACCAATGTGGTTCACCCCCCATTGTTCCATTCAGTTAATAGGTATATGCGATAGACTTGGCTTGTGCTGTGACATGCGGAATACAGTCCTGCTGAATGATAGTATAGCCGGCATACCTTTGTAAATGATGTTTTTTGTGGCAAATTCTATCCACTTTATAGGAGGAATCCTGTCCCACAGTTTTATTGCTTGGTGCTGGTTTGTATATTTTCTGTAAGAATTTTTGCAGGTTAGTGACGTGTTTTGATATTTTTCAGCTGGAAACATTTCATGCTGGAAAAAATGCCACAAAACCTGAAGATATCAGTGATGGCGTTATCATAGCGACAGTGCTCCATGAAATGTAAGTGTTAGAATAATTTAGATTGGGTTTTGGTTGTGCTGTGACTATCTTTTGAGAACTATATATGTGCTTTCTAGGAGCTGAGGTGCATCAGTTATCTTTCGGAGTACCAACATTCTTATGGGTGTGAATGTTCAGACTGGGCCTGGAAGTTGAGTCCACCTATAATTCACCAGTTGAAACAACCCCTTGTAAACATGATTTCAGATGGAAGTACAATGGTGTGATCATGCTACTGCCATACATGCTGAGCTGTAGGTTGTTTTTAAGCTGTGTTTTGCATTCAGAGCTTTTTTGCCAACAATTTTACAGTGTGTTGCAAATCATGGGTGTGGTATTCAGCTGCAGGGGAAGTTTATCCATAGGAGTAAGTAAGTACCAAATCCAACTTAGGCATTATCAGTGAGAAATTTGACTGCACCATAACACAGCTGAATTGCAGGTTATTTTGGAGTAGAGTCTAACTGCAGCTAGAGTCAAGCATAGGTCTTTGTGTGAGTGGTAGCACAAGTGTTGCCTGAAACTCATGAAGCTCAATTTAATCCCAGGTTTCACACCACCTTGCAGTGAAAGGTATACCAATTGAAGTGCCTAAAGCATGTTATGGTGATATGTGCCTTGGGCTGTATACTCTTGGACCAGGTACTATAGAACAAGGTACTGAACCCTACATGAATGCTGTGTACTAGCTCTATTTTCAAGTTGTGCAGTCTAAGTGGGAAGAGAATCACTATATTAGCTAGGGCATGTCAGATTGACAAATTTTGTTGCCATTCTGCTTCCTGCCTCCATCCAAATTGCCGCGGCTGTGTCTGGAACAAGGACAGACATATGCAACTCCTGCCATTTGACAAGAAGTGATCTAGATGGAGCCCAGTTCCAAAAAACATGCTGTGTTCAGGTGACTTCAGTGCATGGTTATTTTATACTAAGAATAATGCTTGTTGCATGTGGCTGGTCGAAATTCTTATGATACGATTCGAGACTGAACTCACTGATTGCTTTGGTTGTTCATTGGTTTTTTTCGGGCGCGTCGAGCTCACTGACTTTTCGTCCAGGATTGCACTTACTCTACTACAAAGTTATGTGAAGCTTTCAGTCGGTTTCCACGCTGCTGGAGGCAAATGACGTCATCATTCGCGTCGCCCCGTCCATTGCGGCTGCACGTCGACGTAGACCGCCCCTTGTGCATTTCGACGAAGTTTGTTTGTTGTCGTACGTGACGTTTTTGATGGGCCATAGTTTGTACAGTTTGCTGGAACAAATTTCGCCGGGCTGCAGTCTACTTTTCAAGGTCTGATTACTATTGCCATCCCAGTTGTGGTCGGACGCCTTTGTCCTAAACCCCCTGCCTTATCCCATCCTCGTTCTTAGAAAGCGTGCTCACCTTTTCATAGCTATTAACGTGAGAAGAGCCATACGTTTGTCGATACGGATCATAAGTACGATGCAATACTTACCGCGGTAAACATGGATTTTTTGAGTCCCTGGTGCAGTTGGCGTTTGGATATCTGTGCGCGGACTCTCAGATTAGGGCGGAATGGAGTGAAATCACACCACTTCACATGCCTGACAAACTGCTCAATCGCTAGTCGCAACACATTCCTGACGTTTTTCTTTGCTTGTGTGGAAAGCGCTTTTTCAAATTCCTTTGTCAAACTGTCAATTACCCCCAAGTTATCTTGCTTCACAGGGAAGATTCCTTGCTCCTTGAAATGCTTCGCATGTTTCTTGCTTCACGTTTCCATTTTGTCAAAGTATAATTGAAGGAATACCACGGTGTACGGGGAGCACCGGGCGGTATGCACCGGGGATGGACCTTTCTTGTTGCATGGTTTGTTGGTACATCGGCTTGGTAGAAGTTAGGACAGATTATGACCGTGGGCAATTTGGTTGAATGCTGTGGGAACTGTGTACGGGGGCTGTTCCCTTTTTTTCCTTTGGTTCCCTTTTCATGGAGAATTTAGGTTAGACCAAATTTATTATCGCAAAGAGACGGGAAGCAGCTAGGTAGCATGGTGCCGTTAATTACAATCATTGACTCCTTAAAGTTATCATCATCTCCACCGCATTACAGACAGGGTTACGTGCTGGCATTCCTGACTATCGGTCGTTGCCTATCGTTCTTGCGCCTGCATGATTTCGCATGGGAACAGGAATGGGAACCTTATAATTGTCTCCAGGCATTACGTGCGTACCTCTACATGCCTCTCAGTCAAAAATAATGCCCGGCTCGGTGGTTTCGAAAAACGGCATTCGATGTCTGACTTATTTGTCTTGTGTTGATGTTTTTCCCCGTAATCGATGTCGTTGTCTAGTTTTCAACTTCAGAGATTGGCGCATTCAAACATTCAAATCAAACTCAGCCTACGGATAACGGCCCAAATTTATCATCCTTTTGTATCGCAGTAGATTGTATTTCGAGACAGTTCTAAGAGTGCAGATGCAACGTACCCCGACGTACCGACGTTTTTATCGGGCACGCCAGATAAGCACTTGTTATCGTAACGAGAACCTGGCATGCTAAAGCGATCATGCCGTCCATCATGCAGAAATCATGCTGCGATTTGAATACGTCAATACCTGAGTTTTTGTGCATTGACAATATTTCACAGGATGGATCATACAATGCCTCTGATTCTCCGTAGGATCCTGGGTAAGAATGCGATCGCTACTCGTGTCGGTTTTTCTCAAGGCTTGCCTCCACCGGGCAAGGACATGGACGCTATCCCCAAGCGGCATTTCTGAGGACATTACACAAATGATAAAGATAAAACTTGATAAAGGTAAAACTCTGTAAAACTTGGCATAGCCGAGACACACTTATTCTGTACGTCGGACAAAATGGTCCCGAGTTACCTCTGATTACTGAGTTATCATGCCATACCCAATGCTTATATAAATCTTTGCGGCAATAGTCGTTTGTTGTTCACTGGCAATGAGTGGTACCGTTTAAGGTCGGGAACTTCACTGGTCTAGTATGACCTTGCTCGACGCTAGACCGGTCATGTAATTTTCTAAACCCAAATCCGACGCGGACTGCGACGTCGTTTCCGTCTGGCTATATGCCATTTGGGTAGATGCCGCTTCATGCTCCGTGAAGTCGTGCAGACGCCAGGCCGCATTTTTTTATTTTGTATATTTTTTTTTGACCGAACAGCGGCAGACCGTTTGCCTCCCTCCCGCCAACGGCGCTAGTGACACCACTTCCCGCCGACCATGCGAAGTCTGGAAGAAAAAGTCTGCTAATTTTCCCAACCGATCTCAATGGTGTGCATATGGGGAATTTCTTGACGTCACGGGAGTTGGTCTTTGTTTGCGGTCGAATGATCCCGCTTATCTGATAGCGTCCGTTGGGCATGCATTACAGTGCGAGTAACAGGCGTCCTGACATGACTGGCTGGGGAGATAGGCTGGTTTGGACACGGGCGTGACATGAGCCGGATTGAAAATTTGCCCCTGTACCGTGGTGCGTACCTGCCGATGATGAAGTGCTCCGCGCGTAGCGCACTCAAATCGGCTTGCATTTTGAAGGACCGGGCAACGCCAAACCGTTGGCGAAGCGATCACCAATCGAAATAAAAGTACAATGAACATATGAACAGAAGGCTGGGGTGTAAACTGGTATTCTTTTATAAGGACCCTGCCCCCCCCCCCCCCCTCCATATTTGGTATTTATGTTGGCCCGCCAGGTGGTCTGTACCCTTCTCGAACACATTTTTGCTGGAATATTGCAAAAAAAGAGAGGAGGAAAAGGCCGAATATCACTGAAAGCTGGCCTTCTGTGGACGGTATTTAAAGGCTGCTCTTCTGCTCAACTACAGTACTTGTTGATACAGGACACACTTCTTAAAACAAACATTGCCGTTCGTCAAAATAAAGTGAGCTGAATCCAGTGATGATCCCGCAGTTCGGCAGAGGCTGGGTTGTCGGGGCGTTGGGTACCCCACTCCCCCCACTCGCCAATCACAAGACAAATGAACCCCATGACGCACAGTGATGAGCCCGTATTTGTCCTATTTTAACATCAATGCCAGTTCATTGAGGAAATGGTCAAGCTCGCAATGGCACTGCGTTTCCTGGGATTTTTCTTAAATGATGATAGGCTGAGTACAGGGGACCGTAAGATGCAACTTTGTCAGCGCCGCCATTAGCTCCGTGTCTTATAAAGGATATCTTGGTGTTGTCGGAATGGAATGGATGGGATTGGAGTGGGATGGGTGCTTACGTCTGGTTCATGTTGACAGCAAATGGGGCTGGGGCTGCGCAGGTTTAAACGTCATCGTGAATAGGTCGAGTGCATTCGCCATGTACTGGTTCGTTTGACACCCTGTGCATGTCCTCCTGAAAAGAGCAGGTACTTTACCCGTCGTGTCCTCGGAGAACGGCTGGACCGTTGGAGATCGCGTGATGGTTTCTTATCACGGGGATCTCCGGCCAGGCTGGTCCCACTTGCCTTCCGGTGTCAAGGCCATCGCGAAAGGAAGCGAACCTCGGCTTTATCGACGCTGGGCGGGTACAGGTTTTATGTGGACGTTGCGGGGTGCGCGGAGTCGTTGAACAGACTGTACCACTTTTATATGGGGTTTTGAACTGAAACAGCCATCTTTAAGACCTTTCGGTGTGTTCACAATCGTGCCCTTCTCAAGGTCTAAGCCTGTATAGTTTCTGAGGCACACGCCCGCGAAACTAGGGAAGGTATGTCGGGGAGGGTATTTCAAAGTCACCTTGACATTCATGACGTCGTAATGACCTCATTCAAATCCTGTTATTCCACAAACCATGCGACGATCAAGCCCAATACAAATTCAATTGTCGAAGTGTTCACATCTGGTGTTCGTGAGGGCGATTTCCAGATATAACCGCTGTCAGTTGGCTCTCAATCAATGGCGTGCAAGATACGATCCCGTAATCAAACCATGACGCATTGAAAAACATATTTACTAAACAAAGAATTGTGTCGTCTAGAGCAACTTTTGCCTGTTAAAAAGTATACCAATAGTTACAAGTGAGGGTCTTTCGTATATCTGATGCTTGCTTCAATATGTTCAAATGTGAAGCGTTCCCTTTAAAGGCAATGCCACACGTTTGGGGTATGTTACAAAACATATTGCAGTGAAACGTCAGGGCCAGTTACATTTAATATCAGCACCGGGTAGTGCCATTACAGCCTATCCAAGACCACCAAGATATCAATTTGATTATTTTCTTTCCAAATTATGCTCTCGCCGCCTCGTAACAATATCATTTTTCTTCCCTGCAGTCGCGGCTGCCGTCGTCATGACATCCGCCGTGGCACCTCCAGGTGCGAATAAAAGATGTTCATGATTGGCCCAGTGGGCGGCAATGACCTTTTTCCGAGAAGCGCATTGGTTGAGGTTTGAACCAGTGCGTCACTAGGACCATGTAATACTCTCACGCCCAAAGCCAAAGTGTGCCTGGAAAAGAACCACTGGTGAATGCCATAGGAGAGAAACCAAAACCACAGTGTAACGTTTTGTTGAATTGGCGGGATAAAGCTTCATGTTCGCATATCTTTATCTAAGCGAGATGTTTCAAGCCTTCGTAGCATTTAGTGCACAATATTTTTGCATCTAGCATATTGTTTTGTTTAAACAGGACGTTTCAATCTTTGTTAGATCTTATTACATAAACATTTTGACAAATAAGCGTGTTGCAAACATTACAGAACCCACGCGTGGAAAAAGCAAGGCAAATAAAATCTATTTTTTTCATAGTGGTGAGCAGGTAGTCGAATGAGCTTTGTCTTGCAGGAGCGGCTACTTCAAATAGAAATCCTGAGCTTTTCAGAAGGATTTCGAGAAAATTGGTATTGCTCATCAGATCGCACGCGTCTGATCTAACAATAAATCAAAAATACAAAAAGGTGGCATAGTCCCTTTAAGAGGTGTCTTGAGACGGCATGACGGCTTGGAGACGCTGGCGGATGTGTTGGCGGTTGGAGCCGTTTGACCCGGCGGCGCGAGCTTCCGCCGCTGTCAGCTGTGGGCGCGGGCCGGCTCCGGTCTCTGTTCGACTGGATGGAGGAGGCGAGTGATAATGCGCAGGCAAAATTCCTGGTTGTCTTATCTGTTGGAAGGTGAAATGAAACTGCTCACTTTCGCCGGGTCAACGCGTGACGGGCGAAGAAGTCAACTGGTCTGAGCTTACTGTTCCTCCGATCAGTCACGTTGTGGTGGATTTTCTGGTGCGGTATCTACTTAGCCAGTGACGTGCCGTAAATATGCCTCCTTCAGTCTGGTTCAAAGTTTGTCTGAGTCATGCGGACTTTGGTCGTGCTCACGTCACTGCTTGCCCGCTTGCTGAAATGAATCGTGCGCTGTCAATGGCACAACTGGCACCGTATGCGTTCCAACGCGTTCTGTTCGCGAATTTCATATCCAACGTCGTGGTTTTGTTAGGTCTTTGCGACGGATGTCCATTGTATGGTTTGTAAATGAAACCACGTTTGCCATGTGTGCTGATTTGCTGTTAAATGTGAACTTACGTACATGCTCCTCTGTCAATTGAAGTTCTAGGTTATGCGTTTTTCTCATTATACCTTGCTCCGGAGCTACAATTCCGATCCAGGCCATTGACCTTTCAAAAGTTACATGCACCCTTGCGAAAACTCATTCTATGTTACTGCGTGATGGCCCTGGCAGCTGACGTGCCCTTAAAACGCACTTCTCTGCAACTCTCGGACACGGGGCACACGCGTGGCCCGCCGTCGGCCGCCGACTGGCCGCCGCCGGGCGGGCATCCGGCGCGGCCCCGACACCGGCGCGTGCCCGGCCGCCTCCGCCGCCGCCGGGACGAAGGCGAGGCGCGCGCCGCATCCGTGAGGTGAAAACGGCATCGCCGGGCCGCGCCGATCGCCGATAAGATTGGCGTCGGGCGCCGATCGGGCTGGCAGGCCGGCCGAGGTGGCGATAGTGCTGGTCAGGTGCACGCTGTCCTGGCCGCTGGCCATTGTTTCCGGCCGTCGGACGTGCCTTATCGAACGCGAAGGCCTTTCCCCCTGGAGGGAGAGCCCTGCAATCCGCGAACGTTCGCTGCTTCTGCTGCTTTCTCGATACATAAATGGGGTTTTCACGTGTGGCGTGCGTTTATGACGTAGATTGTGTGCTTTGAAGTTCGCCGAGAAAGTCAAGATTTTTGTGAAGTGTGGAGCTTAAGGGTCAGTCGACCACGAAAAATCAGCTATCTCCCACGATAAGCCATTTTAAAACAGATGCGGCATGCACCCGAAGCTAAGCACGTAACCCAAACTGAAGCCAGCATGCAGTTTAATTTGGGAGCGTGGTAATCTGGTGTACAACGAACCGCGAACAGCACGCATTCCCACGAACATGATCCTCCCCACACCAGTGTACAGCACGGCCGAGGGGGCCGGCTGGCATGAGGCGTGTGCGCACCTGCTATCGCCTTCTCGCCGATTGCAGCACGGGTGTATTCTGCTGTCTTTTAAGAGCATACGTCGTTGTTTTTATGATGGGCGAGATCCGCACTGCGAGGCACCAGCTGCATCATGGCTGCTCGTGCGGACCGCTCACTGCGGCGTGTTGGTGGGGGCTGGCATGGACCAGTTCTGCGCGGCCGAGCCCCAGTCACCCCTTTCTCTGCCATGTCGCGGTCTGGCGGGTCTATTCGCCGCTCGTGGGACATACCTGTGTTCTGTACCATGAGTGTAGCTTTTTACGAACGGTTTTCCGCATCGTCCTGGAGTAATTTTAGGCGATTGAGGGAGACCATTGTTTCAGCACTGAATGAGTACCGGTCAGGTTTTCAGCGGCTGGGTGATTGAATTACGAGGTCTTGGACTATATACAAGCTCAATTATCAACTCATCGAATGCGAGTTTCGGTTGCCCGTCAAGTTAATTAAACTGTCAGACGATCTCCTTCAGCGAGCGTTCACAAGTGAACTCGGAGCTACCCGCGGCCTTCCAGCCTGATCACTCGCCGTGAGCGGTGGACCGACAGCCGGAGCTGTAAGACTCGCTCATGAGAGTGCGTCGCTGTCTCTGTAACAGGCGGCCACACTTGCGTCACTGGACGGCAGCCGGCCGGGCCGCTCTCGTGGCGTCCAGAGGCGCCGCGCGGGTCCTCCGGCCGCTCGTAAGCCGCCGGTCTGCCCCGACAGCTGACGTCGCCTCCCGGCGTCCGGCTCGCTCCCGGCGCCCGTGTTGTGGACGGTGGGCCGCGGCATGCTCCCGGCCGGTGTCGTAACGGCCGGCCCCGATCGTGCGGCGTCAGAGGCGGGCGCGGCGTCCTGCAGTACACGGTCCACCGCTCGCTGACGGTGATTCGGTGCACTGTGCACCGTGCATGTGGCCGGTCACGTGACCTTGGCACGCGGTCCACCCCGAGAGAGAGGCGCGCACCCGACGGCGGCCGGTTCGCCGCCCTCCCGGCCGCCCGCCTGGCCGCCGTTGGGGTCGGTGTCGCCGGCGGCCGGCACCGCCCCGTCCCGCGCCGTGATGGGCGGCCCCGCACCACGCAATGCCGCCGTTTGTCACTGCGCCGGCGATGGGCGCTGGGATGAGTTCAGCTCCCGGCCGGCGGGAGGGTGGCGTTTTTGCAGCGCGAGGTGCGGGGGAGGGCGCGCGCGCGCGCTTTGTGAGCTGTTGACGGCAGACCACAACGATGCTTTTATTGTGTCCATGCAGATCGGCGCAAGCGGGGTGTCGACGGGAGAGCACTGGCTTTTATGATTTGGTGATTTAAATGAGCTGACATGAAACAATCCGTGACGCTTGCCGCGACGTGACGTGACTGTGACGTGAGCTATAGAGTCGGCTACAGAATCCGCAAGTAGTTAGCGTCTTGTAAGTGAGCAAAAGCATAACAACACATGCTATCCTGCCTCACTTGCGCAGCTTTGGCCGCCTATCTTCCGAGCTTTGGTCCGTGGGAACTTGTCACGGACCAATTCTTTTTGTTTTACAGGCTTATGATTTCAACACTTTTCACACAGCTGTCAGTTTACTTGTTACGCTATGGAGTTCAATTAGCTTGGTTGTTGACGTGTACGGTTGTTGATGCGGCTCACTGCATCCTCCTTTGGTTACCCGTCCGCTGCCAGCGTATTCCCGCACCGAGAGTTCGCAGCAGCCGAGCGCTGTGGGTCTGTCCGCACCTTGGTTGGTTGTCAGATACCTGTGCCCTGGCCGTCCCGGGCAGTCATGGACCGTTGCCCGGGCTTGCTGTGTCACCCGTGTCCGGCGACGAGTCCCTGGAGTCCCTGTGCGGTCGGACGTTTCATGTCTTTAATGTTCTGTATGTGTTCTGTGGTTTCACCTACGTTTTACCTGACGACACGCGAATTACTTGCACGACCGACGGCCATGCGTCGGTGGGCGCGCGCGCGTGGGTTCCGTAACAAGGAACCCATCCCGCCCGCCGAAGACTGTGGTCCCTCCCGTGCTGTGTGTCATCTCGTCGGACGGCGCACTGTCTCCTCCGACATGTCGCTACTCCGAGCTGGCTGTGTCGATGCTCGGATGGTCGTTCCCTCTTCGTCCCATTGGCACCGACGGCACTGTCCTGTCCGGCACTGACGGCACTGTCCTGTCCGGCACTAGCAACAGTGTCATGTCTGGCACTGACGACACCCTCCTGTCCGTCACTGACGACACTGTCCTGTTCGGCACCGACGACACTGTGCTGTCCGACAGTGACGACACTCTCCTATCCGGCACTGACGTCACTGTCTTGTTCAGCATTAACAACAATGTCCTGTCCGGCACTGACGACACTGTCCTGCCCGGCAGCGAGCCGCTGTGGTTCGACGACGCCTGGCTGGGAAAGATCAAGACGGACGCCGGCGGCAACTGGCGACTCAAGGTGAGTAGAACGACCCCGGAGAACGGGGCGCAACGGCCGGGACGGCGCCCGGTGGGGCTGAACTGGGCTGACGAGCGGGCGGACTGCTGTGAACGGGTACTGAACTGAGGCTGACGGGCGGGCCAACTGCTATACCCGGGTGCCGAACTGAGGCCGACGAGCAGACGAACTACAGTAACCGGGTACCGAGCTCGGGCCTAGGTGTTCCGCCACCGTTTTTGAAGAACGGGGGACGTATGATTATGCTGTGTCTTCGTGCGGCTGTTCCTGGAACGGCAGGGCTTCCAGTGCTGGTGTCAGCTGCTGCACCTGGGTAGAGCATTGTGGCCGTCGCGGACGTCCATTCTTCAAGCATTATAAACAAATGTCCCAACCAGGCTGTTTAAATCATCTGTCTTTGCATTGGTACTGTAGGCGCGATGGTAGTTCACAACCCCAATAGCAGTGGGACACGACCACAACAATCACTTGTCTTCAACCGTCATTGGCTGTTCACCAGTCTTTGAAATTCAAATCCTTTTATGTTTCAAAGTGAACCTTTGACCCGGCTTGTCGCACACAGGATTTACGACTGTGAACGCCTCTGCGGGGTGGCACAGGTGGCCTTTGTCAACCATGGTCGAATTGTTCACAAATAAGAGTGACGATTCATGCTCCATACTAAGAACGCCTCCGCCGTCATCGGCTCACATTAACCAGCATGCATTCTAGCCAACGGGATTGACGATGAGGGAGTGCTTTTTTCTAAGAGGAGTCGTCCTGCTGGATCTCATCGACATCCAATAACAAATGACTCGCGGTGACCCTCTCACCTCAGCTGTAGCCTGTAGCGCTGAACTGTATTAGCAGCTGTCGCCTGCGGTCTAGGCGGACGACAAATCGCGGTGAAATCGGTGCGTGGACCTGTTCCCGGCTATGACGGACAAGACGCCGGAGTGTTAGGTGAGAACTGGAACGCCGGGTGTGACGCGGACGATGCGCCACGGGAACGATCGTACGGCGACGAAGCGCCGATGTCGCCGCCAGCCCGCCCGACCAGACGTCACCTTCACTGTCGACCGGCCCGGCTCCGCGCGGCCGCCGTCTCGCCGCGCCGCGTTTGTCGCTGGACGCTCGCCGCTGCACGGCGGCAGCGCCGGGGCTCGCCGCCGTGCGCTGCGGCGTGACGTCCGGCAGCGGTCGCCGGCGCGGGGTGGCGGCCGGCCGCGTGTGTGTCCACACCGGCGACTCGGCTCCCCCCGGGGCGGCGCGCGTTGGTGCCGTGAGTGGCGGCGGCTCCGCGGGGCTCGTCGCGCCGCTGTCGTTTGGACGTGACTGAAGGTGAACGAGTTCATCAAGCGCCTGCCGCGCGGGGACCGGTTCGGTCGGCCGGCGGAGGGTGTCGCCCGACCGACGCCGGACCGGAGAACGCCCGGCGCGCCGGCCGCCGCAGCTCTCCGCTGAGGGGGACGGGACGGCGCCGCCGGGCCAGGCCGCGAGGGACCGTGCCGCCCGTCTCAGCAGACCGGCCGCCGGCAGGCTCGCCCGCTCGAGGCCAACCGGTTACCGGAGCCATTTCCGGCCGGTGGCGCTGATCTGGCACCGGCGCGCGGCCGCCATCGCTGCAACATGCAGCGCGGCGGCTCGGGCCTCTTCCTGCTGCGCCCTCTCCGGGCCAGGTAGCCGTAGTGTGATCAGACGGCCAAGCCGTCGCGAACGAGCATCCCCGCGCCGCTCGCCTGGCGATCCGGCGAGACTCGGCAGACGACCTGGGCGAGTCGGCCAGCTCATGCTCAGAGCGTGCCGAGACTCGGCGGCCGGAGCTCCGGGCCGCGGCGGCCGGCGAGCGCCGTGCACGGGACCGGCTGCTTGGTATTCCGTGGGCGCGGCGCGGCAGCCCTGACCGGGCCGGCCGGCGGCCGCACCGTCACGCCCAGGGTCATGGCACCGGCGTGATGTCACTGGTGGCCGCTGTTTGCGCCGGCGCGTCCCGCTCGGGCGGTCAACCAGGCGGAAGGGTGACGAGGAGAGAAAAAGAGAGAGAATAGGGGGTGGTGCGGGCTGGAGAATAGGTAGGCTCTTCACCGCGCTGCACGGGTCAAGGACCCGAAATGCGCTGGTGATGGACTCCGTTCAACCTCAACCTGATGCACACGCATCGCCCGGCTCCCAGACGGTGGGGCGTATCAGGGGCAGCCCTCGCAGCCGCGCGGCGCAGAAAGCCGGCCGGCGGCGGCGGCGCCGCGGAGCCTGGCCGACCGCCGCCGCAGCTGCCGCGCCTGGTGCATTATTTGCGCTCCCAATTGGCGGCCAGCCGGCGCCCAGCGGTGGCGTTTTGCGGCGGCACCTGGCTCAGCTCCCACGCGGCGCGAGCGGGCGCGCCAGTTTTGCGGCCGCGCCGCTGGCCGGCCGGACGGCACCCACGCAGGCAGGACGCCGCCGCCTGCGGCCAGCGCCGGCGGCGGCCGGTTTCACGGGACGCGACGGCACCTGGCGCCGTGCTGTTCTGGGCCGGCGGTGTGTGGGCCCGGGCTCAGCGGCCGCCCCGGCCACCGAGCGGCCTGCTTGTCGACGTTAGCTGGGGATCAGCCGGGGCGCCGTGTTTGACGACGCCGGGCGGCTGGACCGGCCGCACCACCGCGTGCCACACGCTTTCCGACGTGTTGGGGAAACGCGCCGCCCGGCCCGCCGGCCGGTCGGGTGTGTAGCGGCGCGTGCGTGGATCTGGGGGCGGACGGATTAGAGGGCCGGCGCGGAATGTAATTGCGACACCGCGGCGGAAGGCGCGGCTGGTGGCTGCGGATCTGACCACGCCGGCGGCAGTCGGTGACTCGGGCGCTGCGTGTGCCGCGACCCGCCCGCCGCCTGACCCAGAAGGCGGTCTTATGTTACGCGTTATGCGTCATTCCCGTGCCGCCTAGGCAGTACCACAAATGGGGTTTGTCTTCGTTCTGCGTGTCGGCTTGTTGATTCCGCAAATGCGGCTCCAGCCACGCATGCTGGGACTAGGAACCCAAGACTTTTTTGTACGGTGGTTTTTGTGAAAATGTCAATGTCACTCACTGTTTCACTGGTAAAACTGCCTGCGGGATTTATTACCGACAGTTTACATCTGATCGCGTCTGCATCCCCAGCCACCATGGTAGATGTTCTTAAATAGTGTTTTTCGTAGAAACCGTCTTCAGTTTGAGATAGGCACGTAAGCTCAGCGGCAGGTGATGTGATCCGGCCAGCGTCCATTGAGTTCAACGTTGGTTTTTCCGCTTGTGAAGTCTAAAGTTGGATATCTAATTTTTGAGTTATATTTGTTCACATGCTTTGTCACGAAGGAGTCCAAGCTTGATCTGTGTCAACGTTATAAGGAATGAAACCCTGTAAAAACGAGCTTCACGTCACGGCAACCGGATTGAGAGCGAGCATGACAGAGGATACGCACTGTCATTAGTGTGAGTGCTGCATTTATATTGGCCGCCAGAAAAAGGGACTTCAAAGGAGCCGATGGTGCCTGGAGAGGCGCACCATTCCTGAGTGCGCCGTTGATTGTGTGGGACGGCGCTGTCCTCTCCTTGGCCCGGCTCTGAAAGGTTGCACAACCCCGAGCCAGCCCATGCCAGCAGCTGGTCCGGAGGGAGGGGGGGGGGGGGCAGCAGTATGACGCCCACGCAGGCCGCTCCCGCGAGGGAGTGGTGTGGAACGGCCGGCGGCGAACCGTTACTCGGCCGGCAGATGGTCAGGAGGCCACCGCGGGGGGGCAAGAGGCCGACACCTTCCGTCGTTGACATAGATGGCTTCCCGCGCCACGCCGGTGCTGACGTCTGACTGCCGAGACGGTGACGATGCTATCGGGGCCGCGTGTCGCACCGAGCGTGTGAAGTGTGCGGCTGTTGACGGCTGGTTGGGTGCGCGGCTGTTGACGGCTGGCTGGGTGCGCGGCTGTTGACGGCTGGCTGGGTGCGCGGCTGTTGACGGCTGGCTGGGTGCGCGGCTGTTGACGGCTGGCTGGGTGCGCGGCTGTTGACGGCCATGCTCCCGGACTCGTCACCGTCGGCGGCGGTGCTCGCCACCGGGACCCGTCCGGTCTGCCTGTGTCGGGGCGTGGGTGGGCGCGCCGGGCGGGAGGCCACCCGCCGCGTGGGACAGCGTCGGGCGGGGCGCGGCCCGCGCTCGACCGACACAGCGGCGCGCTGTCGGCGGCCCGGCGGCGCCGTCGGCGACACGGCCGGCCCCGGCACGCAGGCAGGGGCGGCAGAGCGGCTCGGTCTGTGCACTGACAAACAGTCTGCTGCCTCTCTGTCTCCCCCCCCCCCTCCCCCGGAGCTGCTCCGGTGAGCCGCTTGAACAAGGGTCAGGGTGCAGACTCAGCCAGCCGCAGAACCAATCATCACCGCCGAAAAGACCGGGGGTTTGAACCAGGGTCAGGGCGCAGACCCAACCATCCGCAGAACCAATCACCGCCGGAAAGACCCGGACTAATGGCCATTCTCGTGATGACGCGACTGGACTGCAACGCGCGTAACCCGCTGTGCTGTCCCCGGATGCTGCTCTCAAAGTGTTTACCCTCTTCATTGTCAACTCGGCATGTTCCCCGTGTCGGGGCACTCGTTCCACGAGAACAACACCCTCGAGCCTGTCGGAGGGCCGGCTCGGCGGCTGATAGTCATCCCCGGCGAGCGTGCCGGGAAATCGCGAGCTGTTGTGCGTCGGGTTCGTGCGCGGCAAACGGCCGGTGAAATTCTGCCAGTCACACCGCCGGGGGTAATGCCGCCGTTCTGGAAGCCGACGATCATCGCAGTGCTGGCCGGCCCTCCAGTGCCACCGCACTGCGGCTGACGTACTCGGTCTGAGCGTGGTTTCCAATATATAAACCTGAGCGTGGTTTCCGGAGATAAGTTTCGTTGTGAAAATGTTTCGCGGTATGGAGAATGGGCAATCGCCTTGTAGTGGCCTGGGATGGAATCCCACGTTTATCTGGAAAATACGTGCTTACACTGTGCCGAACAAGGCTCTTCCTTGACTGCTACCCGCCAATCTTGTTTTAGTCGTCTTGTGTAAGACCGTTTGAGCGACCCGAGAACGGCTGCAAGCGCTACATACCAATCATTCAGCTTTCTGAGCCCAGCACCTGATCCAGCGGTATCCGATCCACTCCCGGAACTCCCCTCCGGGTCCCTTCTCACGCTCGCACTCCGGCGAGGGCACGCACGCGGCGCCGGACGAAGGCACGCGGCGTCAGGTGGCGGCGGCGCGCCGGGACCCCCGGCAGCGCGCGCCGTCGAAAGGGAAACGGCTCGTTAGCGTGTGCGAGGGGCGCGGCTGGTGCCCCATCTCCATTAGCCGTGTTTATGGCGGGGCCGCGCGCCGGCCGCCGGGTCAGCGCGCGGGTCAGGGGTCGCCGGTGCCGGCTCCTCGCGAGCCCCGCCGCCGACCGCCACTTTCTCCGTCGCCGGCGCCGGACCGGGCGACCTCGCCGGCGGAGGGGGCGGCGGGCGCGCGCCCCCCCGGTCCCGTGACCCGACCTGACCCGCCCGGCCCGTCCGCCCGCAGGTCAGCAACCTGAAGAAGGTGACCCAGGGGATCAACGACTACCTCGCCGACAGTCTGGAGCTGAACATCGCCCACCTCACGCAGCCCGACGTCAACAAGCTGGGTGAGTAGCGGCCGCGCGCCCGCGGTCACCCTCCGACAGGGCGCTCCTGATTGCTCGGCAGATAGCTCTGCAGCGGCGACGGCGTGACGTCCGCCGCCGCCGCCGCTGCGGTGTCGTAACGTCTCCGTGGGACAGGCGATGGGGCCGCCAAGGCGCTATTTGCGCCGCGACGCCGTCAGACGTCCTCCGACAGGTCCCCGCTCGGAGGAGCCGCCTGTTACAGAGACGAGCCGCGGACGGCCGGCGACGCGACGCCGTCAGACGTCCTCCGACAGGTCCCCGCTCGGAGGAGCCGCCTGTTACAGAGACGAGCCGCGGACGGCCGGCAACGCGACGCCGCCAGACGTCCTCCGACAGGTCCCCGCTCGGAGGAACCGCCCGTCACAGAGTCGGACCGCGGACGGTCGGCGACGCGACGCCGTCACAGAAGTGGGCAAATGGCCGTCTGATGGGTCCCGGCGCGCGGTGCGCTCACACACGCGGAGGAGGCGTGCGTGCGCCGATTACGCCGCACGCGCACGCGCACGCACGCGCCGCCCGTCACACGCCGACTGCACCTGGCGTCCCGGGTGTCACGCGGCACTCGCGATTTGCTAGAAATCCGAGCCTCTCAGCGAAAGTCTATTAATAACGGCGGCACCATGGATAATGAGATAATTTCATTTTCTCTCGAGGAACGTGCGTTGCCAAAACTAATTAGAGAGCAAAGGCCGCCTCTAAACGAATCGGAGGAGGATTTGACAGCGATATCTGTTGTTTGAAGCATCTCGACACATACACGTTTCTATTTTTATTACCGGGAGCGAGCTTCCGCTGATCCATCATCAGCTTGTAAGAGGTTTGTCACTAATCAGCCGGGGATAAACGGTGGCTGCGGCGGAGGTGAAACGGCGCCCAGCGAGCGGCGCTCGAGCAGAGCGGCACCCGTTGTCGCCTGTGGCTCTCTCTCTATCTCTCTCCCCACTGTCGGTCATCAGTCAGTGTCCTGAAATTCAATTTATGGCAGGGTGTTACTGTGTAAAACACCAGCTAAAAGAAAATAACACCGCATCTCTCCAATAAGATCTAAAACGGATCACTCTTCAGCAGCAGCGGGTTGAAACAGTTGACTTGTTCACTGCTCGGTACGAAATGCACACCCATTTATCATAATTCGCCCTGCGGGAATCGAAAAGTAGATTGTGACTCGGGAAGATGCGGAATATATGCATAGGAAATAGGGAGAGTCGTCGTCCAGTTTGAGAGCCATTTTCCACCCTACCCCGGCAATTTGGGGGAAACTGCGGCCTCCCAATCGTGCCTCTGCCCGCCGCTTCCGCCGGCCGGCGTCACATCCCGCGGATGGCCGCCGGCGACGCCTCGGCCATTGTCCTCCCTGATTGTTTTACTAGGCGTGCTCATTACCTCAACACGTTCGTTTTCTCCGGCCGGCCGGGCGGCGCCGCCGCCGGCCAGAAACCCGCGCCGGCTGGACTCGGGCGCACGCGCCGCGTCCGGTGGCCGCCGAATTCACGGCCATTGTCCACCGGTCACCACAATCAATCATAGAATGGGGGCGGCGGGTAGAGATCGGACTTTCCCCCGGATCGAACACAGCACTGCCGATGCTATCTGCCTGGTTTTTGTGCGTGCGTCGCGCGGGCGCCGCGTCACGGCGGCCGCGCCCCCGTCCTCCTCCGCCGCCGCAGCAGCCGTCGCCTCAGCCGCCTTCCACCGCGGCCGCCGCCGCCGCCGCCGGCCTGCACCACCGCCGCCGCCGCCGGCCTGCACCACCGCCGCCGCCGGCGCCGGCTCCCCGACAGCGGTCTGCCCGGCGCGCGGTCCCGTGCGGCCGGCGGGAGGGCTGGCCGCCGATGCGCCGTCGGCGTCGCCGGCGGTGCGCGCCTGTGGCGGGCTGCAGTCGCCGGGCCGGCCGGCCGGCGCCGCCGCTGTACACGGACGGCGGGGTCGCAGACCTCGGCCGCCAGCAGACCGCGACGCCGCCGCCGGACGCGCCGGCCCGCGGGCGCGCCCGTGCAGGGGCTGCCTGGCAGCTCGTGCCGGACTGCCGTCTCGGCGCCCCGCTCCGGTGCTATGTCACCACGGCTGGTGCGGCGCCGGCGGTGATTGGCGAAGCGTCCTGCAGGGTGCGCTGGTGTCGCAGACGGAAGCGCTTCGGCTCCGGTGGCCGGCATCGGAGGTCGAATTCCGCACATTGCCTGCATATTCCAGCGTCGCTATCGCAGCCATCGGCGTGGCCGGGCTGCCCGCTGCGACGCTAATGAGCTCGGCGCTGACGTGCGTTGTAGGCAAACTAACGGCTGTTTGGTGTTTGTCCGTGTTCTCTTGGTTAACCTCCGCCCGCTCCACTCATTGTGACGTAATAGCCGAGTCGCACAGCGTGAGAATCGGTGCGGCTGCTTTTCCTGCACTTACCGGTCTTTCCTCCTCCATTGGTCTGTTATCTATCATTTTTATCCTGACACGTCTCGGCGCAAATGGATCTAGAAGGCCGCGGCATTATTATCCGCATACGTAGCGCGAGTGATCGCATCGTAATAATTGTATAAAATGTCGAAGCCGTCTGAAGTAGCATTGCCTTGCTTGCTTGTGCTCTTCACCGAGTGTTCGTATCTCGTCATCGTCATTGTCCTATGTGACGATGTGAACAAGAGGTGCGGCCACGAAACACACATGAAAAACACAACAGTATAGCTTGCTATTACCCTGTGGTGTTTCCCAATTTCGATGAACGCAAGTAGTGATATTTGTGGATGTACAACTCCGTGCAGAAAACCACCATGAAAGGTACGCTTGACTTCCATTACAGCTCATACCTTTGCACTGGATCACCATTTCTATCGTATTTTCAACCAACCACTCCCGGCATCTTTCTGATCTCTTGGTTTTATGGTTCCAGCAGAGTCTTGTGCTCACCTGACTGCTTGTCACCTGCGTCTGTCTATGGTTCCAGCAGAGTCTTGTGCTCACCTGACTGCTTGTCACCTGCGTCTGTCTATGGTTCCAGCAGAGTCTTGTGCTCACCTGACTGCTTGTCACCTGCGTCTGTCTATGGTTCCAGCAGAGTCTTGTGCTCACCTGACTGCTTGTCACCCGCGTCTGTCTATGGTTCCAGCAGAGTCTTGTGCTCACCTGACTGTTTGTCACCTGCGTCTGTCTATGGTTCCAGCAGAGTCTTGTGCTCACCTGACTGCTTGTCACCTGCGTCTGTCCTTACCTGAGCCACGTCACGTCCGGGGCAACACGCGAGCGTCCGCCGTCCGGCCCGGCCAGCCATGTCCGTTCCTGTCCTGTCCCATGCTGTCCTGTATGGCCAGATCTCGGGTTCTGTCCGGTCATGTCCGGCTGTGTGAGCTGTTGGCTCTGTCCGGCTGTAAGCTGTCGGCTCTGTGTGGCCGTGAGCTGTCGGCTCTGTCCGGCTGTGAGCTATGGTCTATGTCCGGCTGTATGAGCTGTCGTCTCTGTCTGGCTGTGAGCTGTCGGCTCTGTCTGGCTGTGCGCGGCGGCCCAGCCGGCTGTGAGGTATGGTGTATGTCCGGCTGTGTGAGCTGTCGTCTCTGTCTGGCCGTGAGCTGCCGGCTCTGTCCGGCTGTGAGGTATGGTGTATGTCCGGCTGTGTGAGCTGTCGTCTCTGTCTGGCTGTGAGCTGTTGGCTCTGTCTGGCTGTGCGCGGCGGCCCAGCCGGCGGGCTGAGCCGCAGCCGGGCCGTGCTCTGCCTCCAGCTCTGAGCTGGCCGCTGAAGCGGTCCGGACAGCATTCCGCCGCGTCCCGCCCGCCTCCGGCCGGCCGGCCGGCGCGGCGCGGCGCCCCTGCATGCCCGCCGCCGGCACTGCTGCCGCCGCCTCCCGCCTGCGGGCAGCGAGCGGCGGCAGGAGCGCGGCCGGGCACCCGTCCCCGGCTAGCTTAAGTCGGACATGAACCCTGTGGATTTCTATGTGGAGGAGCAGAGCAAAAATCCCCCCACATCTTCCGTCCTCAGAGAATCCGCCGTTGCCTGCAGAAGCGGTTGGCGGGCGGGCGGGGAGAGTCCTCTGATAAGTTGGGAGATCCGTTTTGGTCGATTGATGGGGGTTTCTCGGGAGGCGGCTCACCGTCGCCTGCCTCCTCGGCTGACGCTGGCAAGCTCCTGGCACGTCACGGCTCGGTTGGCGCTGCCAGCTCTCGCGGAAGAGAGCTCCTGATACGGGTCTCGTCCCGGCCCACACGGGGCCGGCCGGCCCAGGGCTGGCGGCGGGGAGCTGCCGCGCAAGGTCGGTCTCTCGCCGGCCGCGTTGCCGGTGGGCGGCCGCCGCAGGCACGGCCACGCGGCAGCGGCACGAGGTGCCGTGTGGTGCGGTGGAACGCCACACCATTGTCCCGCCGCCGACACCGGCCGGCTTTCCTGGTGGCGCGGCATTGTTCGCCGCCGCCCAATGCCGCACGGACACGTTCACGATTCGCAAACCCATCGAGCAACATGCTCTGGTGGATGCATACAGCTCACCCCGGCCAACCGATCGATGCAGTGTGCTGTGCTCCCGACCGAAAGCAATCCATGCTACCGAGCCGTTTTGTGGCGCCCGACGCCAGCGCGGGCCCCCATTGCATGAAAACCGGCCCGGGTGGTGTGCAATGGTGGCCCGGCGGGCAGCGAACTGAGTCGACGTGGGCCGGCGGCGGCGCCGGCCACCGGTGGCTGAGAGACGTGATCGGCATGGATCGGGCAGCCGGTGAGACAGCGGGGCGATCGGAGGGCCAGAACCGGTCGGTCCCCCCCCCTCCCCGCGCCGGCGGCGGCCGACCGTAATGGCAGGGAAGGCGAGC